ATTATTATTTTGATAGGCAGAGTTACAGAGAAAGAAGGAGGGACAAAGAGAGAGAAATCTTCCCCCTGCTGGTTCATCCCCGAAATGGCCACAACTACTATAACTGGGCTGCTCGGAAGCCAGGGACCAGGAGCTTCTTCCAGGTCTTCCATGTGGATATAAGAGCCTAAGGACTTGGGACATTTTCTGCTTTCCTCTGCCATTAGCAGGGAGCTGGATCGGAAGTGGAGCAGCCAGAACTCGAACCAGTGCCCATTTGGGACATGAGTCAGTGCCACCACGAGGCAAAGGCATAACCTACTGCGTTATAACACCAGCTCCCAAAGAGCATGATTACTTTTTTTACTTGTCTTTAACTTTTCAAATATGAAGATTTGATATTACATATGTAGTTTCTATTTTTGGCATACATTTTGAGTGGACAACACAGCTATCGGCAAGGGACCACTACGAATGGTGCAACTCCACTGGGGTTCCACGTGCATCTCATCTCTTACGTTTCCTCCCTCAGATGCCAGAGTTCACCTAGCTGCTCGTCATCTGGGTTCACTATCATTCTATATTTTTGTTTTCTCATACCTCTGTATGGTTAAATGGCCTATTTTTCTCTGAATCGCTTTCCGACTTTGTCTATTGTCATATTCTTCCTACCTCATCATAAACAGCTAAAACATCACAGTCTCTGTAGAATATTCTCTGCAATTATCTCTACATACTTAGACTTCAAATAGACACTGTTGGCTGGACTATGACTATATCTTAGCCAGTATCTACCGAATGCCTATGCGTATGGATCATAGGGATAGGTGGTTGGACAATTTCATGTAAATGATACGCAAGGAGTTTGTGCTTGCTGATAGTCGAGACCGTGATAGATGCAAATCACAAAATAGTTGGAAAAGCGCTAAGCAGAAGGGATTTAGGGAGCACATCAAATGTGGGTTTTTCCCAAATGCATATTTTCCCAGACTGTGTCTTTGTGGTGGGTAGGCCTACTGAGCTGAACACTAAGCATCGGGTCCCTTAGAAGCTGGGACTTACCATAATCCTTAAGTATTCAACCATGTAGACTGAAGGGCTTCTTCTTCATATCAGAAATGTTTCAAGTGAGAGTTGCCTGCAAAATACAAATTTTCTTAATAAGCATTCTTTTATTACATAGAAGCCCCAGTATCCTTGCAATGAGTCTCTTAGCCAGGAAATTTATGTATTGATTAAAAAAAAAAAAAAGCAACAAGAAAATGTTCCCCATACCACTGGCATCATTAAGTAAAAATGAATTCCACAAGAATTCATTTATATGCAATTATTTAACACTGATGCACTCTTATAAAAGAGTTCAGAGTTTCAGTGACAGTATTTGTCAGGGTTGAGAAAATAAATACGTGAGTAGCCTTGGCAGTGGGCTTTTGAATGCTAGTATTAGAGGACAGGACCATCACTTGGCTTCTTAGGCTATGCAGAAATGATGCAGAAACTGGTTGACAAGGGGTAGGCACTTGGAACAGCTGTTGAGACACCCTCCTGGGTGCCGGGTACAGTGCTGGGTACAGTGCCAAGTTGTGCTTCTTGCTAATGGCTCCAGCATGTGTGTTCCTGCGACTCATGTGGAACACCTGTACTGAGTTCTATTTTCAAATAAAAGTAAATAAATGTTTAGAAGAAATAATAGGAAGTAGTGAATGTTTCAATATGAATGGAAGAAAGGAAGTGGGGAGGGAAGTGTAACATGTGAGTGGTCCAAATATTTATGGCAAAATCTGTATACTTCCCGGTGAGCACAGACGTCATTACCTTTTTTTTTTAAGATGTATTTATTTTTATTACAAAGTCAGATATACAAAGAGGAAGAGAGACAGCGAGGAAGATCTTCCATCCGATGATTCACTCCCCAAGTGACCACAATGGCCGGTGCTGTGCCAATCCGAAACCGGGAACCAGGAACCTCTTCCAGATCTCCCATGCGGGTGCAGGATCCCAAGGCTTTGGGCTGTCGTCGATTGCTTTCCCAGGCCACAAACAGGGAGCTGGAGGGGAAGTGGCGCTGCCAGGATTAGAACCTGCGCCCATATGGGATCCCAACGCGTTCAAGGTGAGGACTTTAGCCACTAGGCCACACCACGGGGCCCAAGTCATTATCTTATATGGAACCTGTTTGCTTTTTACTTTAGACCGACTTGTAACGAATTAGGCTATCTTCATTCCCAGTTTGCACAGACTAGGATCTTCCAATCAGAGAACCAAGGGAGTGTTATATGTAGCAGGGGGAAAAGAAAGGATAACAGATTGTCAGTGGCTGAGAAGAGAAAGCCTGGAGTTCTTCAGTCCAGGGATGGATGGTTTACAGGCCTCCGGAGAACACGCCTACCCAAAGATGCCGGATGTAGAAAAGGACTTTGATGTATTTCTTGAATTTCCTACAGCCTACTTCATACTTCTAATAAAACTGACATTGAATTTTCATGAAAATGTCAGTCTAACAAACTTCTCAGGAAAACAAATATCTAGAACACACTTTAGAAATCTATATGGGGCCCAGCACAGTGGTCTAGCGTCTAAAGTCCTTGCTTTGGACGCGCAGGGTTTCCATAAGGGCGCCTGTTCATATCCTGGCAGTCCCGCTTCCCATCCAGATCCCTGTCTGTGACCTGGGAAAGCAGTTGAGGACGGCCCAAAGCCTCGGGACCCTGCACCCCTGTGGGAGACCTGGAGGAAGTTCCTGGATCCTGATTTTCAATTGGCTAAGCTCTGACCCTTGTGGCTGCTTGGGGAGTGAATAATCAGACAAAAGATTTCCTCTCTGTCTCGCCTCCTCTGTATATCTGACTTTGCAATAAAAAATAAATAAATCTTAAAAAAAATCTATGTGATAAAATCTTATTCCGCCCTCCCCAAAGGGTAAAGAAAGCTCCAATTAAGCTGATCATTCTTTAATTGGAAGTTTGCTTTGTACCAATCCTGATAAATTAAGTACTATCAAACAGCAGCCTTTCCTAATTTGCCGGCAGCAGAGAGTTTGAACTGTGCAATACACAAATCATAAGCGATTATACACGGCTTAAACTGTATCAATGACGACAGATTGCGGAACTGAATCCAGACGGTGGAGCTGATCACTATAGGGATGTAAAATAATTGTTTTAAAATGCACCATAATCATTAAGCAAAGCATTCCCACCCTGTGCCCAGTAGCGTGCTAAGGGCCGGATTTACCAAGAAGTCATCCGGAAAACCGTTTTCCTGTTCAAGATTCCGGAGGTTTCCAAACCATTCATTCACATTTTCAAAGGTAAAGTGAAAACTTACATGTACAGTGTAGCCCTTATGTAACAGGCATACAAGTACAGTTTTGTGACTTGGATAATTTTTAAGTATAGTTGCAACTCTTACTTCCAAATACTAGGAAATTCTTATGGAGACCTACATGTTAGATCAGAGGTCTCCTGCAAAGATTCTCTCACCCAGTAAGTGTTATTACGTGGGCTTGCCATTTCAGAGTTTTTGGGTAGGGCTAAGGTATACTTGAGCGGTTTTGTGTCAAGCAAAAACAATTTCAGAAACAGCACTCATTTCCCCTGGTGATTTTTTTTTCTCTCCTTTTTGGCGACTTACTAAAATGCTAGCTGCTTCAATCAGAAAGAATTCTGACATCTGGGGAGGTGTTGAGGGGGCGTTAATCAGTCTACTTAGGTGTATGGGGGAGCGGGGAACTTGTGATTTTTTAAAAGCACTGGATACAAAGAGATGAGGGAAATGATGGTTTCGCAGGACTCTGTGCTCTCCCTCCACTTTGGGGCCTCACTCAGTCTGAGCTCCCCCACCTCCCCGGCCCCCCTTAGTTCCAGGCGGCTCCAGGCAGATTCCGTTGCAGGAAACCCAGAGGCTCCCCGTGATGTCATTGTTATTTCTTATTCGGGGACCGAGCGCAGGAGGGCCCCCCAAGAAGTGGCAGCCCTTGCTCCTTCGGGCTGGTCCTCTGGGGTCAGGTCCTTCCCGGGAGGATGTACCCGGGGCTGACCGGCTCCGCGGCTGACTTCCCGGTGACAAAGCAGCTGGAGACCAGCCGCGCTCCTGGGTCCTGCGTCCGTCCAGGGAGCTGAGCGGGGCACTCCTCAGGTCTCCTTCCCAGTTTCGCTCCGAGAGTCACGCCACGTTATTACCGGCTGCCTGCTACGTGCTGGGCACCGGGTCAAAGTGACCTCGAGTTAAAGTGCCCGTGGCCCCCACGATGAAATCAGGACGCAGGGATTATTACAAGGAGGTGGAAGTTGGGGCGCCAGAGGGGAGGCTGGTGGTGGGGAAAAGGAACGCGCGCAGTGTGGTGGGCTAAAATGGCAGGAGGGCAACACTTAAGGCGCCAGTACCCAGGCGGGGACACAAGGGGCGTCCAGGGATCACGGGCTGTACCCCAAGTGCGAGCCCTTGGGCCCGGGGAAAAGAGCAGGATCGCCCACAGCCCCAGAGAGGAGCTGTCCAGGCGCGTGCGACGGCCGGGGGCGGCTGGACAGAACCGGGCACTGAGGGGTGTGTGTGGGGGGGGACACCCCGAGCGCCCACCTTTCCCGGCCCGGGAGGTCCTCCCAGCCCTGCAGCCCAGCCCGGCCATCTGGAGGGCAGGCGAAGAGGAAGAGAACAAAAAACTAAGGGGTCCCCAGCTCCCGCGGGCTGCCAAGGACCGAGTGCCTGCCTCCTGGCCCTGTGACAATAGGAGGGCGGGGGGAAGAAAAAGGGTTAAGAAACTTGGCTGAAGAGCTGAATGGCGTGGAGCGGCGAGGGGAGGGACTGGGCCGCGGCGGACTCGGCGGCGGAGGGAGGAGCGCGGCTGCGGGCGGGCGGCGAGCGAGGCGCTCCAAGTCAGTCTCGCAGACATTGCAGCAGAGCCCCGAACTCGGGAGGAGGCGGCAGCGGCGGCGGCCGAGGAGGAGGACGACGACGAGGAGGAGGAGGAGGCGGCGGCCGAGGCGGAGGGACGAGCCGGCCCCCACGCCCGCCCGCCCGCGCGCGTCCGCCCGCCCGACCGCCCGCCCGTGGCCTCGCGTCCGCCGCCTCGCCGGGCAGCGCTTGCTGCTCTGAGGGAAGAGCTCGCGGCCGGGCTCCGGCCAAGGACGGGGGGCGCCGGGGGGGAAGGCCCCCGTGGCGGAGTCAGCCTGACGGAGCCGGAGGCTCGGAGCCGCGGCGGCCTCGGGTGAGTGGCGGCCGCCGCTGACGGGAGCTCTCCGGGGCAGCAAGCCGCCCGCGCGCCGCCGGAAACGGCCCCGGAGCGCGGCCCGCCGCCGCTGGCGTTGGCGTTGGCGGGCAGGGCCGAGGGGGGCGTCGGGGCGGACGGGTCCGTGGGGTGTGGGGGGACCCCCGGCCTCCCTCTCCCGCGTCCTCCCCCCCCAACCCTTCCCCGGGAACTCGGGGGTGGGGGCGGCCCGGGCGACGGGCCCGGCAAGTTGTGGAGTTAGCCCCGGGTTCGCTCGCCCGTGCGTGCCAGTCCTGGGCCAAGCGGGGCGGCCTGCCGGGTTGTGGTCCCCCGCGTCGTAGGGGGACGGGCACGGGTGGTCGCGCCCCCGCTCGGCTTGCCCCCTTTGGCCCGGCGTCCCGGGCGCTGCTTGCCGCGCCGCGATCGCTCCTGCTGCCCAGCGGCGTCCTGGGTGGCGACGGGCACAGTTCCCTGCCTTTCGCCCGGCTAGCTCCCTGGCGCTTTGCTCGCCCGATTCCCAGCCAGGAAAAGTGAGTAGGAAAAAGGGACCAGCTTGCCCAGCCCCGGGCCCAGCCCGGCGGCACTTAGCCTAGGCTTTAGGAGGGCGAGGCTCCCTGGACCCCGAGGCCTCAGCCCAGGGGCTTTAACCTTTTTTTTTTTTTTTTGCTAAGCGAGCTCTCCTTTAGGGTAAGCTCAGTGAAAGTCCCTGGGAACCTTTGGAAGTGTGCTTCTTTTTTTTTTTTTTTCTGTCTTCTTTGATCGGCTTTCCCTTTCCTACTGTGGAATATTGTTTTCAGGAAAGGTTTCCCTGGAAATAGGCTCCAGAGCCTCCAGTCCTTTCCAAAGTAGTTTCCGAATTTTAAGCAGGAGTTGATGGTGAGTGAAGGAACAAAGGAATCAACTGTGTCTTAGAGGCGGACAGGCTGGGAGTCTGTGACACATGTTGATCTCCGAGGCATTCCAGGAGTTTCTTTCTGGCACCTTAGAAATCTGATGAGCTTCTGAAGGTAGCAAAACTCAATGCAGAAAAAGTTGTTTTTTTTTCTTTTAAAATTATTATTCTCTTTGGAGTGTTTAAAACCTTTTTTTTTCTTTCTTTCTTCCCACCAATGGGACGTTTTATCTTGTGGGGAAAAAGAGTATCAAGACGTGCCCTGGGTCTCACGACCCGACCCCTAACTGGTGGAGCTGAGTTGGAGTTTGTGTACTAGAACGTAAGTGATTAAATTGGAGGTTGTGGCGAAGCGTAGTGGCTGCCGAGGAAGGAGAAGCCATGTGTAGGTGTCCGCGATAAGAGGTGGTTGTTGGGTTGCGTGTGATGAGTGCTGGCTCTGTATTTCTTGGGATTTGTAAGACCAGGGGACCTGGGACTTCGTTCTTTAAAGTTGTGAATTGTATCAAACCTGCTTATTAGTGAATCATAGGTTCAGCAAGTGGGTGGCATCTTCCAGAGGCAATTATTCAATGTTTAATCATCAGTTTACCACCTTTTGTGGAAGAGACAGTGAAATAAATAGACTTTTTAAACAAACAGTGCCTCCTCTCTTAAGTGTGGGTTCCTGCCTGGAATATGTTGAAATGTTTTCCGTCTTTCACATAAGCTGCTCTGCTTAGCTGACGTGAAGTGACATAGTAACATTCGTAAGGCTTAGCTGGTTCAGGCAGCAGAGTCCTGATCATGCCTTAGGTCTTCGCCTGCACCCAGTGCTTCAGAGACAAAGGAGGAGAACCAGGCTGTGGTGGTGTTGGTTACTCTAGTGGAGAAAGAGCTCTTACCAAACTTACCCTTGAAAGTACCCTAGGAGTGGAAATGACACACATCTCCCTATATATTTCAAAAAAGGACATTGATCTTTGTTGCTTTTACTCAGATGAGTCCCCTCCAACACCTCTGAGAGTTAAAAACCACGTTTAAAGCTTATGGTAAGATTAGAGTTAGAACCACGGCTTAACCTCATCTGCCAACTCTGTGGAACTTTTGCTTGATTAAAAAGCTTAAAATACTAAGTTTGGGAAAAGCGATGTATGTCAAGGAAGCCCAATGCTCTTTGACTCTTGCAGTTTCAAAAGCAAAACATCCTGATAAAAAATAACCTATACCACCACCTAGAGTTTGTTGTTAGTTTGTTGCTGCTGAAGTTGGCTTATATTGTCATTTCTCTTGCAGTTCTGATACAGTTTAAGAAAAAAAATGATTAAGAAGTGCCATCTTCTGCAGGGCCTTCCAAGAAAACTTTTTTTCTTAAAGTAATAAATAGCAAGTGCCAATTTAAATTATCCATGCCACCTTTAGAATCAAAAATTATATCAATTTGAGTGGGCTCTGTTCCAAAAGATATTCATTCAGAAGAATTTAAAACAATTTCCAGCGTGTTCTCTCAGGTAGCTTAAAGTGATTGCTTAAAAGCCTCTATGCGCTGTTGTCAGAGAGTCCAGAAATCTTGCAGATTAACTGGGAGCAGGCTGTAGTTCAGATGTGAGAAGAGGGGGTGAGTTGATGTAGTGATCTTTTGTTGTTGTTGTTGCTGGTGGTGGTTTTATGTGGGAAAGCAGTCTTCAGTGGGAGACCCTAGAAGGGAGCCTTGGGGCTTGTTGTTGTGAGGCTTATCATTGTTTATGGAGGAAGTCATGCCCCTCCTTCGTGTGGTATAGCCAAAGAGAAAGGTGGCTTCCAAGATCTTTAATTGAATATGCAGAGAACTAGAGCAATGTATTAATTCTGTCAAACGTCACTATTTTAGAACATTGAGGACAACTAAAAATGAATTAACTTATATCTGAAAGCAGAGTTTTATGGAAGGTGACAGATGAGGCAAAATATGTCAATCTGCTGGAACAAATAGGAAGATAAAGAGCTGTGCGATCCTTGGCTCCCTAGGAAAATGAAAAGGAAGAAGGTTCTTATTAATTTCGGAGGTTCCATTGAAAGCCAGTCCTGTGGGATGATAATAGAGAAGTAATTTTGGGAGTGCATGAGGTTAAAGGAATTTAGTTTGGAATTTTAAAATCTGAAAATTCGAAGAACCTTGAAATTTCATGTTTTCAGTATTTCTCTGTAAAAGCAGGAAGGATTTTGTATGTCAGGTTAAAGAATAACTCTCAACATAAATTGAAAGTGCAGTTGTTATCCTGGAAAGGCATGTGGTCACCCTAAATTGTGATCTCATGTTTTGCTTTTTAAACTTTGGATTATCAGGTATCATTACTTTTTATTATTTTTCATGATATGGTTCCATAGGCACAGGGACTCCCCCGGCATCCTCTGTTTCTCCCCGCCCCCACACCGTTTTTCCCCATATTATTACAATCGTGTAGTCTTTCAACAAGTCACAAGTCCAATATTGTGCTATTTTAGCACACGATGGCATTGCAGGTACAGACACTGGTAGATAGTCTAGTATCCTGTTGTCAAGGTGTGTGCAGCAGTTTCATTGGAAGTTCTTTTTGTTCTGGAGTGGAGATAGCATTCCTTTTTAAGGTGTAGAATAATGAGAAAAAGAAGGAATCTGGGTTTTTTTCCTCTTTCCCTTTCCTTTCCTTCCTACATCTCCCTCCTAATCCCTTCCCTCATCTCTCTCTGCCTCCTGCCCTCCTTCCCTCTCTTCCTTTTCCCCTCCCTCTTCCTGCTTCCCTCCCTTCCTCCATTCCTATCTCTTTTCCTCCCCTTTTCTAAACATAAAATTTCTGCATCTCTTCATGTCTTCTTCTGTGAATATTGCCTTTCTGGTCATATGATGAGGTCAAAGTTGTTTACTCTCAAACTTAAGGCCATCTGCCCCGTCAGGTGGTTGACCAGTAATGAGTGGGTTTCTTTTGTTTTACTAATGATTTTCTGTTAACTGGATTAAGCTTGGGGAAGAGGCATTCGCTATACTGACAAGGCTCTGTATGCTCATGTCTTTCATTGGATAAATATTTTTGAACCTTGAATGCTGTAAGAGAAGTCAGAAACGTTTTCAGTGGAATGTGGTGGTGGAACTTTCTGGTTGTGACTTTGAAGCTGTGAATGTACAAGGTACATGCCATTAGGTTGCAGACTTTATTTTGTTACTTTGCTGGCAGGGTGTGAGGGGTGCTGCTAGGGGATAAATGAGCAAGCTAATTGTGATAGCACAACAATCAGAAATATATACCAGGATAGTCATTAAGAGTTCAAAGATAAAAATACGGAATGTCAAATGACAAAGTAGGCAGTGGAATGGAGCTGAGGATTATGTCCAGAATTTGGAATGGACAAAAAGTCAGTGGAGGAGAGAGAGCTTGTTTCTGTATCCAGTTTGCATCTGATGCTGAAACAGGGACTTGCCTTGCTGATGGTAATGGATTCTGTTTTATGAGGCCAGCAGTATATTTAAGTAGTGGTTGGTTGAGGCAGAGAAATGATGAATTCTGCATTTGTGTGTGTACATTGTTACTAGTGTGTCAGATTCATTTGGGTGATCCAAAGTGGAACCAGAAGTTACAGTTTGTTTGAGGGAAAATGACTTGATTCTAAACCAAAGGAAAGTGTAATTGTTTAGGTTTGTGAGAGCTGTAGCTTTGGTCCTAGTCAACATGCAAAACTGAGAGCTAAAATGTGGATGGTGACCTGGAGAACTCTTTGATAGTGTGTCTTTGGTAAAGGTAACATATAATTGCAAAAGGAATGCTTTATTTAGAAAAAACAAAGCTTTCTTATTTATTTTATATGGATTTCTTTGGAAGGCAAAATAAGTGGTTCATTCATTGCATGGGAGATAGCACCTTAATCCAGGTCACCACGTGGGTGACAAGGACCTGAGTGTTAGGGCCCTCACTGTGGCCCTCTGTGGCTGTGCAATAGCAGAGAGCTGGAGTTGGAAGAGAGCCTGTGAACATAGGGCACTGAGAGATGGGATGTGGGAGTCATGAGCCAGGTTTCAATCTTTGTGCCAAACTCCAATCTCAAATGTTTTCTCTATTTGATGATTTAAGATGGGTGGAAAATTGAGATTGACTGTTCTTTTCCTGTAAGTGAATGT